GCTCCGCGCTTGTACCATTTCACGGTCTTCTCTCCTCAACAGAGTGCGCTTGTCCAGTTGTCACCCGTTCCGTTCTTGTTTGGGTTGTGTTTTTATCATCCTTTTTGATTGACAGCTTTGAGCTAGAGCTTTTCGTGGCTCGAGGCGCTTACTGTGACGCGAATGACGCACGCTGTGTTGGACATTTTCACCTCTGCTTTCCATGTTAGTTTATGCCTTGGTGGCTGCCATTCTTATCCTTTTGTTTGGAGTGGTCTGTCACACGCCATTTTTTAAATAATTGATTATTAATGATGATAAGAAGCTTATAGCGGCATCGGCGCGTCAATGAAAATGTAGACATGACGCTTACGATTCCAACCAATAGCAAAGTTATCGGGCATTGGGCAAGCACGACAGCAGCAACAACGACACCAGGTGCACAGTCCCATTGCTGTGACGAGGGTGGCGGGGGGGGGGGGGGGGGAGGGTAACAGGGGCGCTCATTGAGTGGCTTACTTGTGCCATCTGAGTCAAACAAGTCGAAGGCTTGCCCTTGGTCGTTTCGCTGAAGAAAGAGCTAGCAAGACTTGCGGCGATGCAGGCAGAACGCACACTCGGCGAAGGAGGGTAACAATAATGATAATGGTATGGTGATACTTTTAATGATCAAGGTGAACGAGCTGCTCCAGACTGCGTATGGTCTATTACGGTCGAAGTAGGTTACCTCAAGGCGAGGCCCCCAGCCCAGCCCCGGCGGGTGTCGATGGTCACGGCGACATCCTGATGCAGGAGAGTGGGGCGGTGCTGTTGAATACAGGCGGTGGCACACACCATGGGGCAGCAGACCATGTCAGCCACCAGGCCAACCAGGCCGCCAGCCACGGCTACGCAGGCATGCACAGGAAAGCATTTGGCGCCAGAGGTGGGAAAACCCAGCGTGCGTCGGGTACGGCAATAAGCACAGCAAGCGCTGGTGGCTGAAGCGGTAAAGCATGGGGGGCCGACGTGGAGGCGCTGGGAGCGTCGGTGACGAGGCAATTGAAGAGCACTTTGCGATTGAGTAGCCGTCGGTTGCTGGGCCACCAATTGGTGCGAGGCAGCCGTTTTTGGCTGGACAGCCCATCGAAACTCTTTGGTGACGTAGATGCAATCGTCGTTGGTTGGATCTACTTGGCTCAACACAGTTCCCAGAACTGGGCGAAACTGGTTTACTTGACAGCATCCAAAACAGGTCGTCTCCACGGCCTCGTCCTGGTCTTGAAAGGGGTGCGAGTGCTGTTGGTCATCGGCTTGGTTTCCTGGTGCAAGGGCCTCTTCCCCTTGCTTCTCGCCGTGCTGCCCCATGCTTGGTCTCCGTCTCTGGGTCGCTCGTATCACCAAGCTGAGCACAAAGCCGCAGAAAGTCGATAAAATGCAACGAAAACTCACATACTGCCTATTACTGGTAAAGCAAAAAGTATAATTATCAATACATATAAGTGTATCAATACCGTGGCCTTCTTGTGGTATTAACGATTCGCTTGCAAGCCAAAGTCATAGCAACGTATTGTTTTTCTTTTTGTCTTCCATGTCTCTGACTTTGGGCAGTCGCTTCTGCCGCTCTCTAAACTTTTGATCCTCTTCCCCTTCTTCTCTGATCTTGACAGTACTTGACTTCACCTCTCTTTTTCCCTTTAAAGTAACCTGCAATTTCTCTCTCACCATCCCTGCCTCTCTGCCCCTCTCTACTCTCTGATCTCGCCATAGCCAACTCTCTCTCTCTCTCTCTCGTTCTCTCTCCCTCTCTCTCTCTCTCTCACATCAACAACGACCGCCGACGGCAGCAGCAGCAGCAGCAGCAGCAGCAGCAGCAGCAGCAGCAGCAGCAGCAGCAGCAGTTAGGTACTGGCAGCCGTGGCCCGCAGCAGCAGCAGCAGGAGCAGTTGCAGGAGCAGTTGCAGGAGCAGTTGCAGGAGCAGTTGCAGGAACAACAGCACACAGACACAGACACACACACGCGCGCGCGTGTGTCGGAGGAGCAGCAAGGCGAGCGCGCGATTGGGGTGCTCGTGCGTACGCGCGCACGCCTCGCACGAGCGCGCGCGCTGTCGCTGTCGTCGTGTTTGAGAGGGTGAACGCTGCCTCTTGACTGGCGAGGAGCAACATGGGGTCTGCACCCTCAAAGGGGACCGAGGCATCCGCGGCCCAGGGGGGCTCGCAAGCCGCTTCCGTCGCCGAAAATTCTTCCAAAGGTAGACGAGTCCAAACGCCCGCGCACGCTTCTTCTCGCGTCACGTCCCCCTCGTTGGCTCTTCTTGCACCTCCTTCGTCCCTCGCTTGCTGACACTCTTCCTCTTCTCTCCACCCCAGAGCGCCGGAACAGCAACCGGCAGAAGAGCGTCAAAGTTGACAATGACGAAAAAGTCTTTCGAGAGGCTTGCCTCAAGGTGAGCGAGCACACCTCAAATGGCGCCGCGCCGCGCCCGCCTTGTACCCCCCCCCCCCCCC